GGTGAACAAGTTTTCTCCCTCCTCCTTATGACACCCTTTTAGATACCATATTCAGCTTCTCGTCCACTGTAACCCCTAGGTCCTTTTCTGCAGAACTGCTACATAGCCATTCGGTCCCTAGTCTGTAGCAGTGCATGGGATTCTTCCGTCCTAAGTGCAAGACTCTGCACTTGTCCTTGTTGAACCTCATCAGGTTTTTTTTGGCCCAGTCCTCTAATTTGTCTAGGTCCCTCTGTATCCTGTCCCTACCCTCCAGCGTATCTACCACTCCTCCCAGTTTAGTGTCATCTGCAAACTTGCTGAGAGAGCAGTCCACGCCATCCTCCAGATCATTAATGAAGATATTGAACAAAACCGGCCCCAGGACCGACCCTTGGGGCACTCCACTTGAAACCGGCTGCCAACTAGACATGGAGCCATTGATCACTACCGGTTGAGTCCGACGATCTAGCCAGCTTTCTATCCACCTTACAGTCCATTCATCCAGCCCATACTTCTTTAACTTGCTGGCAAGAATACTGTGGGAGACTGTATCAAAAGCTTTGCTAAAGTCAAGGAATAACACATCCACTGCTTTCCCCTCATCCACAGACCCAGTTATCTCCTCATAGAAGGCAATTAGGTTAGTCAGGCATGACTTGCCCTTGGTGAATCCATGCTGACTGTTCCTAATCACTTTCCTCTCCTCTAAGTGTTTCATAATTGATTCCTTGAGGACCTGCTCCATGATTTTTCCAGGGACTGAAGTGAGGCTGACTGGCCTGTAGTTCCCCGGATCCTCCTTCTTCCCTTTTTTAAAGATGGGCACTACATTAGCCTTTTTCCAGTCATCCGGGACCTCCCCCGATCGCCATGACTTTTCAAAAATAATTGTCAATGGCTCTGCAATCACATCCGCCAACTCCTTTAGCACCCTCGGATGCAGCGCATCCGGCCCCATGGACTTGTGCTCATCCAGTTTTTCTAAATAGTCCCGAACCACTTCTTTCTCCACAGAGGGCTGGTCACCTTCTCCCCATACTGTGCTGCCCAGTGCAGCAGTCTGGGAGCTGACCTTGTTCGTGAAGACAGAGGCAAAAAAATCATTGAGTACATTAGCTTTTTCCACATCCTCTGTTACTCGGTTGCCTCCCTCATTCAGTAAGGGGCCCACACTTTCCTTGACTTTCTTCTTGCTGCTAACAAATCTGTAGAAACCCTTCTTGTTACTCTTAACATCTCTTGCTAGCTGCAACTCCAAGTGTTGGAGATGTACCATTAGCTGGACCATTAGTCTGACCCAGTATGGCCATTCTGATGTTCTTATGGAGACCCCAGAAGTATCTCCACCCTCCCCCCACCACTGTAATGCACTAGACCCTCTGAGGAACATGGTATTGGCCATTCTTGGCAAACAGGATACTGGGCTAGATGAACCATTGTTTTTACCCAACATCTGCATTCCAAGATTTATCTGCCCCCCAGTGGAACCTACTCCCCTCCAAGAGGAGAGATAGAACCCAGAAGTCCTGATGGGGTCTCTCTCTCTCTGCAGAGTTAGTAACAAAGTAAGAATATACAATAATATTCTAAGTGACTGGGCACAGGATGTCAGAACATGTTAGTATTAGAGCTGAGTGGGTCTAATATTTATTTTATTTTATTTCGTTCATATCAGAATTAGACACAGTGCTCCTGTCAGCTAATGGCTAAGTTATCTGCCAAAAAAATAGAGTTTTCAAGACCCTAAGTAGCCTTTGGAATCACGGTTAAAGTTGCCACCCCAACCAAAATCTGAAATGTCTCCCTTGTAGCTGGGGGTGGGGGAAGGAAGGTGGAAATGATCCAGCAAGTGACAGGGGGAGGGGAATAGAGGAGCAAGAACAGGTGCGGGGCCTTGCGGGGGAAGAGGTAAAGCAGGGTCAGAGCCTTGGCAGAAGAGGTGGGGCAAGGAGTGGGGTTTCGGGGTCCAGATACCAGCAATTAGAGAGGTGGCAACCCACTGAATTGTACACAGACCTATTCCCCAGTTTGTCATGCTGACACAGCACAGTAAGGTCAGGAAAGGATTTAATGTCTTTTTGACTGTCCGGTAAGTGATCCAGGGAAGGGGGCCCAGCACCATCTCACCAGCCAGCTCTGCACAGAGCTCGGTCTGAGAGCCAGAGCACCAGGAGGAAACTTTACATCCCTTTATGAGTAAGTAGCCGGAGCAGCCTGTCGCGGATCTGTTTGGTGCTCACCCCATAAATGATGGGATGTAGCATGGGGGGCATGAGCAGGTAGGCGTTAGCCATCAGAATGTGGAAATGTACAGCCACATTGTGGCCAAACCAGTGTGTAAGGACAGAGAAGAGACCTGGGATGTAAGAGGCTAAAATGACACAGATGTGGGAGCCGCAGGTCCCAAAAGTCTTGAGCCGGGCGTCCTTTGTGGGGAGTCTGAAGATGGCCCTGAGGATCTGGATATAGGACATGGCAATAAAAAATACATCCAGACCCATCACCATGAATGCCACAGAGAGGCCGTAGTAACTACTGATGCGGACATCAGCACAGGCTAGCTTCACCACAGCCATGTGCTCACAGAACAAGTGTGGGATAATGTTGGTTCTGCAATATGGCCACCGCCTCGCCAGGAAAGGATAGGGCAGAACGAGCATGCCACCACGCAGCAGCAAAGCCAGGCCGATCTTGGCCACCACAGGGTTTGTCAGGATGGTGGAATGTCTCAGGGGATCACAGATGGCCACGTAGCAATCCAAAGCCATGGCCACAAGGATCCCAGAGTCAATCACTAAGAAGCAGTGAATGAAGTACATCTGGGTGAGGCAGGCACTGAAATTGATCTCCCTGGAATTGAACCAGAAGATGCTCAGCATTTTGGGTAGGGTGGATGTGGACAGGACCAGGTCGCTGACGGCCAGCATGTAGAGGAAATAGTACATGGGCCCTTGGAGGCTCGGCTCCCTCTTCACAATGAACAGGATGGTGAAGTTCCCCAAGATGGCTATTATGTACATGGCGCAGAAGGGAATGGAGATCCAGACATGGGCCACCTCCAGGCCAGGAATGCCCAGCAGGATGAAGGTGGAGGGGTTGGTGAAGTCGGTTGTGTTGGAAGCAGACATGGAGTAGGGGAGATGTCCAACTCTGAGGCAGAACGGTGTCTCCTGCATGTAGTGTACGTTCCCCTGACGTCCTGTATGTGCCCATCCAGTGCAAATGCCTGGATGGAGAGACAATGTTAATATGAGACATTACATACACTACTGGTGGGTGAAGCAGATTGGTCGCTCTTCACACACTGAACAATGACATTTTCATTATTCAGAGAAAGGAATTATGAACAACTGGCCCCACTAATGCAAATTCTATATTTGATGGTGCTCCATGCATCAACAATTCCTACATGTCGTAGTGTGGGAAACCTTAATAGGCACCAGCAGGAACCACAAGTGTGGATACTGGTTATCCATCATTGTTCCATAATGCAATGAAAGCCAGGCTAGAGAGTCCATGCTGTAGGGAGCTTCCCATTCACCTGATTGCTCAAAATCTGAGATTGTAACAAGAAAAAAAAACCTTTGCCAAGACATGCGCCAGGGAGAAACATCCCAACTAGAACACACCTCGGGGAAAAGACCTGGGTGTCATTGGTAGCAGGTCAACAAAAAACATGCTCATTTGCAGTAAAAAGCAACAGAGTCCTGTGGCACCTTATAGACTAACAGATGTATTGGAGCAGAAGCTTTCATGGGTGCATCTGACGAAGTGGGCATTCACCCACGAAAGCTTATGCTCCAATACGTCTGTTATTCTTAAGGGTGCCACAGGACTCTCTGTTGCTTTTTACAGATCCAGACTAACATGGCTACCCCTCTGATCATTTCTAGTAGTGGCCAAATCAAAGCCAATGTTCGGATGCCTAAGAAATGGGATGGAGAATATCCTGCTCTGGTCATGTGCTCAGTTTTGGTCACCCAGTCTCTAAAAAGGCTACAGCATTATAAAGGAGATTTCCGAGACAGGCTATGAGAATGGGGAAGGCTGTCATATGTGGACAAACTGATAATTCTGGGACTGTTTAGTTTAGAGAACAGCAACAGAGAGTCCTGTGGCACCTTATAGACTAACAGACGTATTGGAGCATAAGCTTTCATGGGTGAATACCCACTTCATCAGACGCAGTTTAGAGAAGAAACAAAGAAGGGGGCAGTTGATAGAGGAGAGGAATATAAAGAAAAGAACTGATTACATTCAATTGGACAAAGAGAGAACAGTTCCCAACCAGTAACATCTATAGACACAGTGCTTCAAAAGGGCTAATTCCCCAAAGCTGAAGAAAATTATCAAGAAAACTGATTGGGATGAAAATATTAGACAGAAAAATGGGACTGAAACTTGGAAATTCTTTAAGAAGAGTTTATTGGATAGCTAAATAGTCACAATTCCACAACCGATTCAGTGGCAAAATGAAGGCAGGAATTTTTGGGGGAAAGCAATATATACAAATGGGAAAAGGGAAAATAGATTGCAAGCAATACAAATTGGAAGTTATGACAATTGCTAAAGGACGTTACTGACCAGGGAAATATCCATGCTTGGTGAGACTAAGGATAACAAAAAGGAGGTTATTAAGTATATTAGGAACAAAAGAAATCCTAGAAAAGGTTTAGGCCAATTCCTAGATGGAGAAAGGAAACCTCTTAATGTTGCAGAAAACACAGATGTGTTGAATAAATAGTTTTGTTCTGTATTTGGCAAAAAGCAGTATGAGGTACTCATATCACATGAAGTAATGAAATATTCCCCAGTCCAGTAGCTGCCAAGGAGAATGTTGAACAGCATCTACAGTAGAACCTTA